AAAAGATAAACCTACTGTTCAGAGTCTTTATAAAAATCTCAAGTACATATACAGCCCTCTCCAAGTGCCAGGCGCCAGTCTAAGCACTCTGGTTACAGCTCTCGTCTGATTCTCATAATCACTCAGTGGCGAAAGTATTATATCATTATTGCCCTTTAATCCTATAAGAGACGGAGGCAAGGAGGTGAAGGAACTTGCCCAAGGTCATGGTTAGTCTGTGCATAGCTGGATACAAACCTCTCAAGGCACAGGCTATGCTCTGCTATCTTGGCCCTCTTTTAATGATAAATAACAAGAGAATTGTCTATTGTAAATTACTTTGTGACTTAGCAGAGGAAAAACAGCTCATTCTTAAGATTCCCCAAATAAGTGATATCATATGATATTTGTCTTTCTCTGTCTGAGTTAGTTCACTTAGTATAATAATCTCTAGGTCCATCCACGTTGCTGCAAATGACATTACTTCATCCTTTTCATGGCTGAATAGAATTCCATTGTATATGTACCACATCTTCTTATTCAGTCATCTGTCACAGACATTTAGGTTCTAACATGTCTTGGCTGTTGTAAATAGTACTGCTATGAACACTGGGGTGCATGTATCTTTACCGCTATTTAGATACATTCTGCCTTTCCCTAAAGCTGGTCCAGCTCACAGTTTTGTTGCGCCACCTAACATATGCATTGCTTCCATCATTCTCCTGACCCAGAGCTTTCCCTGTTTATAATATAATTGGAAATTTTTGATTGCTTCCTGATCTGGCCCATCCTTACTTTCCATTCTTACCTATTTTCTCTGCCTTGAGCTCCAAGCAGCCTCACTCATCAGCTGGGTTCCTGAGCACCCTCTGCTTTTCTGCCCCATTGCCTCTGCTGGAACTACCTGCTCCACCACCATGTGCCTCTCGCCCCCTCCTGTCACCATGCTCATCATCTTCTCCATCATCGGCCCAGCTCAGAGGTCGCTCTACCAGGAAGTTCTATCAGATCTGCTTCCACCAGTCCCAGCTCCATGCCAGAAATCACATTTCCTCCCCGTGTTCCCATGGCAGCCATAGCATCCTTCTAGAACATTCTCTCTGTATTATGATTATTTGAATACATGTCCTATTACTGATGCCACACTGTGAGTTACTGTAACTTTGTTATTATAACACTACCTTTTGTTGTGTAGTATCACCAGGGGCTTGTAGATAGTAGATTTAACATTTGTGAGTTAAACAATTTGCACCCTTCAAAGCAATTGGGTTTTCACATTATTTTCTTCAATAACTAGCATCGCCATGGTACAAACTTGTACCAATAAGAACTGTAAGTCCTGCACCCTATTGTTAAGAGTCAGCTCTGTGTCAGCAGGCACACCTTGGTTGATTCCTGGTTATGCAAACTTGGGGATATTCTGAATTCTTGGTGTTTTGGTGTCCTCGTGAATAAAATGGGGATAATGACAGTACTGGCCTCGGAGGGTTGCTATGAGGAGAAAATGAGACGGTCTATATAATCCCTTAGGAAGGTACCTGGCATGCAGGAAGCCTTCAGTAAATACTAACTGTTACTCACAGGGCATTTCTATCTGGCTCTTTTCCTAGAGAAGTACAGAAAAATGGCCTTTTGGGTGCTGTAGTTACCAACTCTAACCAGAAGGAGGCGCACAGCCTCCAGGGCTGTGACGATTTAGCTTCTAGAGGGAGCACAGAATAGAGAATTCAGTGTAGGAGTAGGGACAGAGTTGTGTTTATAAACAGCAAGAAAACCTTGGGTTTTAAAGGTCATTTGGCAAGTCCCACTGCGCCTCCTCCTCTGCCCACCACCTGTTTAGAAAGGGCAGTGATGCTGAGGTGTGGGTGAGCGAGCAGGAGGGCTGGCCCGGGGACACGCGAGGCAGGAAGCGGGGTCTGAAGCTGATGATAGGTACATTGATTGATATCATGATCTCTTCCAGTATGAGCTAAAATGTGTCCACCCACCCAACCCATGTGGTCACCTCCTTAACGTCAGATATGGTCTGTGTGAAATTGCCTTCCTATCAGCTTTTAACTCTTGTTTCCTTCTCCAGCCAGACTGATTATATATTCCCTGGACCTGAGAATGCCCACCCATTCCCAAGTCGCGCTGTGGCCTGGCTGCCCAATCCTGCTAATATTTCTAGTCCAGCTCATAAGCCACCTCCTCCAGGAAGCCTGCCCTGACCACTCTAGTTCAACAAACTCCTTCCCTGAGCATTTCCCGGTTGGCCTTTCCATAGTTGGGCACTTTTCCCAGTGCTGTGGATCAGGTATTTTCCTTTTTATGTAGCTCCCTGAGGACAGGACGCGCTTCATTTGTCCCCTGCCAGTCATCTGGGCAGAATGCTACATGGCGGATGCCGCAAGTATTGACTAAAGAATGACTGGCAGAGGGCCAGTGTTTCACAGGTGTGCGAGAATTAGTGGATGGCACATTAATCTCCATCATAAACAGAAAAACTCCTATTTTTTTCCTCCAATGCTATAATGAAAATAGGGCACATGAAAGCCATTACAGTTATGTCTTACACAGATATCGGACATTATCTGGGACCCGGGTCCCCTCCACTCTCTCCAGCAGTGTGTATTTCTGTTTTTTACTTGTGGTTGGCTTTACATGTTTACTACTTAGTGAGTGAACTCATTGGAAGTTAAATTGCTGGCCATCCATGTGCCGGGAAGACAGTGAGGGGAAGCAGGCGTGCCCCTGCCCTCAGGACTTACAGCTTATCTGCTCCCTCAGAGACTTCTTGTATTTACAGACACTTGGCCCCAGGCTGGGAGGCTCTGGGGAGACAAAATGGATTAAGAGGACATGGTCCCTGCCTTGGGGACATATTATCAGGTGGGAACACAGCTAAGCCATGTTCAAGGCAGTCAGGTCATCAGCTTCTCAGAGAATCTGATGAAAGTCTTAGACAATAGACTTACTCAAATACTGTTCCTAAGAATACTTTACATTTTAAAGAGCAAAGCAGTAGGACTATTTTGAGGGCCAAGATCAGCACAGTAACCCTTCACTCCCACCCCCAAAAATCTCCCTCCTGGTCTCTGATATTTTCATTTTCCTTTAGAAGAAAATTAAGTATTTCATTTCACAAGAAATAAGACTTAGAAAACGGACTTAAATGAATATCCTATTCCTGATGGGAACAAGGAAGAGCAGGAGACAACCTGGGGCGTGCCCACTTTACAGATGAGGAGATTGAGGCCCCAAATGGAAGGCTCAGTGGTTGGGCTGGGCTCCCAGGGTGAGTCAGGGCAGGTGGCCACACCCCAGCGCAGACCTCCTGGTTCTCAGGCATCCCTCTCTCCTGCTCTCCATTTCACTCTGCCTGCCAGCCCAGGGCATGAGGTACAGGGTATTCCAGACCCTCTGATGCCCTGTGGGATCCCAGCAGGATTCACTGTCATGAAGCCAGGTCGAGAAAGGTTGAGGTGGAAAACTGGCATGAGGCCGCCTCCAGGCAGGCACCCAAGGCCAACCTGCACTCCTGCAGACACCGCTGGAAGCCACACCAACATGTCTGGAGCCAGGAAGCTCAGCCCGTGCCTCAGGGGAGCTGAGTGAAACAAAGAATGCGATCTCTATCCGGCTGATGACTCAGAAGTCTGCCCTGCCCGCAGAGGGCAATGGCTGGCACAGACAAGGCGTGTGTAGCCCTGCGACAGCGCGGTGCTGCCCACTCACCTCTAGACCCTGGCAGGCCCCGTGCCAGCTTCGTTCTCATGCTCGCCACTTCCCTCACAAAGCTGTTTCCCTCCGCTACTGCTTTGCCTCTTCGGAAAGGGCAGCAGGGAAGGAATGATGAGCTTTTGGTGAATCTTCCCCAAACTCTCATTCTTCACTCCCAACACCAGGGTGGTTAGAAGCCACTTCCTTTGTCCTTTTTGCAGTTCAGTCACATGCGTTCTTCATGTACCCGGCACATGGTGCTCCCAGGGACAGGTGGCCCAGCCCAGCGTACATCCTCCCTGGGGAACACTCACTCCAATTTTGCCTTCTGCCTTCTTTGGTTCATAGATACCCTGACTCCTCATTCTCCCTGTAAATTCGCCTGAGGCTGGAAACCATACCCCTCCTTCAACACGCTTTATCCTGCAGGGTCAACATGATGGTTGACAATGAGCTTTATTTCTGTCTGATCTTGGAAGGAGTTTTTGCATTTGATTATCAGAGGGTCCGATATTTAGGGATTTCTATTTGCAGTGAGATCTAACGCCACACCTAGCAAGAAGCAGATCACTAAATTACCAGGAGCCCAGAGTGGGAAGGCCTGGTTCACTGGGTGCCAGGAAGACGCACAGTCCCTTCTGTTCCTGCACTAGCCGCCTCCAGTCTGGGAACAGGTGCTTCCCCCTATTCCCTGCCGGGGAGTCCTTGTTGCCTGCAAACTGGGGGGAGTAAATCAAGGGTGCGAGCCCAGTGAAAGAGAAGACACGCCTGCCCCCCCCCCATTGAAGCAGAACATACGGCAGGGGTCTGTGGCCTTTCTCAATAAAACGCCAGAGAAGACTCATTAAGGTACACACAGCTGCACGCAGCGGAGAAAACACTGGTGGTCTGTATTTTGCAGAAACCAAGCCAAAGGGCTGCTTACGGTTGTCAAGCTGCCACTCACGAAAGGGGCTGCAAATACAGCCTCAGTTCAGTGGTAAGAGTCGTCGCTAAACTGGGCCCGGAAATCAAGGCCCCTGACTACCCGGAATGGGCCAGGAGAGGGCTAGAGAGGGACTCGTGGACTGAGCCTAGGCCGGGACCCAGGGACCTGAGCCAGCTGCACCGAGCGGGGTGGCGGGGGCCGGGTGAGAAGCCCCCCTTGCCTGCTCTGCCACGGGACAGGGCGCTAAGGCCAGCTCCGCTCGGCGGTCCGCGCGTGGAGGTGCGCGCCTCCGGGAGGCTCCCGTTCTCCGCAGGGACTTGGTGTTTCCTGGGAACACGGCTTTCCCCGCAGAGACAGACCTCGTCAGCCCCGCTCTGCTCTGTCTCCGCAGCTCCGGAGCCTGGCTCAGCACCGCCCCCGAGCGCCCGCGGCCCGACTGCGCAGGATTTTAAGCAAGGCGTGGCCACCCGCCAGGTAGGTGACGACCCTCCGCAGGGAACCCGCCTCCAGGGGACCCGCGGAGCCAGTGAGAGGCCTGGGTCTCTCCGTTCACCGCGCACCGCTCGCTCGGGGGCCTGTCTCTCCAGGGCACCTTCCCTCGCGCAGCAGAGCAGTCGTGCTGCGAAGGTGAACCGCGCAGACGGAGCCGCAGCTGCTTCCCGGGCGCAGGGCAACGCCGGGGCCACGCGTCTGGCTGCTCCCTGACTCGCCCGGCTGCTTCGGCGTCATGAGGGTGCGCTCCGAAAAGAACCCCAGAGTAGGCAAGAAACGGGTCACAAAAGTGAAAAAAAGATCTAAGACTGACGTTTAAATTGAATCTTTTCTTGGCTGAATTGGCCCAAATTGGATATATCGATGTCCCTCCCTAGGACCTCACTCACCCCACGAGGTAACTTGGGCAGAACGCAAGCGTGGAGCGGCTGCCGGTTCTCGGGCATTTCCCACACGATGCCGCTCCCATCGCCCCTCAACCCGCCTTGGGAAGTGGATCCAATTACTGTTCCAACAAGACTGGGGGAGATTGGGTAACTTGCCACACAGATGACAAGGACTGGGATCCCAGTTCAGATCTGAGTGATGCCGAAGTCTCTAGGCTTACCTAAAACTTTTTGCGCAAAGTGGGGTTGGCATGGCCAAGGACCCTGGGGGAATGACCAAACATAGGCCACTCCAGGTGGTGGACAGCAAATAGCAAAGCCAGAGTGCCCTCCAGGAAAGGAGGCCACCCCTGTGATCATATGGTGGTCTCTCTCTGATCCCCCAGACCCCACACTTGGCACAGAGCCCCCATTCCAGGCTGCCATGAACACCCGGAACTCATGTCCATTCAGTCACATGAAGAGGGTCCCCAACTCCTGCCGGAGGTCTGGCTGCTGTGTGCAGAGCCCAGAGACTCCCTGTAGAGTGTTCCCTCTCTCCCTCAGAGCCAGCAGACCACCTTCCTGAATGTGAAAATTCAGCTACTGTAGACAGGCAGTTTCTGCTAGAAGCACTCTGAAGGAAGCCACAGCTCTTGGTGGCAGATAGCATTTTCCCTCACTATCTCCTGTCATTTGAGAATGAAGGTCACAGCTATCACCCCAAAGGGTGCCTTTGAGTCATAGGTTTAATGTCTTGACTTTTGTGAAAGGATGGGGGAGATAGGAGGGCAGAGAAGGCCTGAAGGGACATTACAGACTCAGCTTCCACCTCCACTGAGTCAGCCTCACCTAGAGGAGCTGCTGAACCTCAGAAGGGTTCACTGGCAATGGAGCCAGGTGTGATGATCAGTATCCTAGGAGGGGGGGGGGGCCGAGAAGGGGCTGGGAGCAGAGCAGAGCACTGTCTATTTAGGGGGCTTGCTTGAGGGTCACTGAGCTGGGACCTTGTGCTCAGCGACCCTCAGTCACAAACATGTGGGCACATAGAGTGGGGAGTTAAGTGAAGATGTGAAAGGTGATGGCAAATTCTCTGGGAAAGTTATGGAAACTAATTTTCTTCATCAGGCAGATGAAGACCACTTTCTGAAGTTCTCCAAACACAAGGGAAAGTTGACTGAAAGCCCACGTAATACACTTGGCGTGCTGGAGGGCAAGATACCCAGTAGGGACCACAGCGTCCCAACAGTATTTGTTGCCTGGGAAGGCCACTCCTCACCCCTCCACTCAGGAAAAGATGCACATACATCACAGGGAGGCTGAAGGTCAGCAGAAGCCCTTGAGGGTGTGGTTAGGGATGGTTTAAAGTTGCTAGCAGGGAGCAAATCCCTGAACCCACAGACTGTGATTTTGACAATCACCTTTAGTGGTTTAAACTTCAAATATAGATTTCAAAGTCTATGAGGACACTAATGATCTGTCATAAGCTAATATCCGCAGCAGGGAAGGATGAGAAAAATCAGGGATGAAAATCTGGTTTATAGAAGTGTCAGATGATGGTCGGTCTTGAGTAAAACTGCTGTATGGTTCACGGTATTCCAGGCGGTAAATGAAAGTAAAGTGTGTGTCTTCCACTAACGCAGGCAGATTTCATACCTTTGCCTGCACGTTAGCTCCTGGTTTACCCAGTGCTTTCAATGCTACTGTCCGTGATCAACAAATGATCTGACTCATTCAATCCAATTGTTCTCCTTCCAATGACGTATAAAAGAAACCCGGTTATCTTGCCAATTGATCCTTGTTACCAGATGTGTAGTCTTCGGAAATGCAGTCTAGCTGGGAGAGTCTCTAGGTGCAAGCACACTGGGGGATCTGGCTGTGGGACCAGGCTCCAGACCTCAAACTTTATATGAGCTGTGTGGAATCAAACAGATTTTACACATCCTCTTAAAAGAGAATCCAGTAGAGTGCTTTGCATACAGTAGGTGCTCAATAAGTGACTGGAATTTCTGCCCTATTTGTCAGGATGACCACACCATTCAAATGCAAGTGACAATTTTCATATGACATTTAATGAGTCCTGTGTGAATCAGGCTAATCACATCTTTTGACCTGATTTAGCTCACAGTTGATTTCATGTCTGCTCTTCATAGCCTAACTTCCAGGCTATCAATCAAACACGGATTTACTAAGCACCTTCTGTCTACCTGACACACAGCTGGACACCAGGGATGCAAAGATGGATACAACAAAGGCTCTGCTCTTGATGTATCCCCTATGTAGTAACATGGGAACAAGTAACCACAGGACAGTGAGCTAAGTGTCAGAGCCAGAGCAAGGTTCCGGGAGGCTCCCAGAAAGTGCCCAAGTATGCCCCAGGGAGCTGGAGCCACTGGGGGGTGGAGGTGGAATGAACTGGATACTGATAGACAAATGGGAGCTGGCCAGGCTGGCCAGGGCCTCTGCAAGTACAGGATGGCTCGTCTGAAGGGCAGCAGGAGATACCGTCTGACTTCGTGAACACAATATATTATCTATTATCACCACACCTGGCATATCACTCCACTTTGGATGTAGTACATTATTTATATATTCGTGAAATTCCTATAGAATAGTGAATCTTAAGCAATTAGGGGACGTGAAGCCTTCTGAGAATCTGATTTTTTTTTTAAATGATATCCCCTCTCCCCGTGAAGTCACCCTCGGACTCCTGTTTAGGAAATCCTCGTGTAGGATATAAAGCTCTTCAAAGCAAGCTGAGAGTATGCTGACCTACAACTACTGGTCTAGACGCCCCGCTTCTGCCTCTTCGAGATCACCCAAGTCTCTTTACACACACCAAGAGAAGTGTTGGGATGGTGAGACTTGGCAGCGCCGCGTGACAGTGATGCTGCGCAGCCAGCCGCAGGCAGGTCCAGGGCCAGCTAACGCGCAGGCGCGCAGCCCGGCTTCCTGCCCCCGGGTGCGCACCTGTCGCGGTCCACCAGGCTGCGCTCCGCGGGTGTTTGCCCTGAGCCCACAGCCAGCCCCTCAGCTCACATTCCATCCACGGTCTTCACACAAGCGGGAGGCTTTCTAGATAATAATCTATGAAGACATCAACAAAATAAACGTAACTGAAAAGGGCGAAGCTCACATAGGATTTAGAGAATGGAGGCCTGGATTTACCTTCTCCTCCCTTGATGTTGATCTCTTCTGTCCTTCATGTCTCTGAGCCTCAGGTTGCCCATCTGTAAATAGGGCTTGAGGATTCTCCCTCCACCTCCCACCCCGATTCACAAGGTAGATGAGAATTAAAATCAAGTGAGATTATGCAGGTGAAAGAACCCTGAACTCTAAACTCTCTGAAAGCCATTTATTAATTTTAGAAAAGATATTGGAGAACTAATGATAACATCACAGGAAACAGGTCATTTTACTATTACCCCCAAACAATATTTCAACATTAAAAAAAAAAAAGCCAGGCACTCAGTAGAGAGAGAATAAATAGTAGCTGTCATTTGTTGTAGGGCATCATAAATACACTGACTTTTGTTTATTATACAGTTTTAGAAAGGAAAAGGAAAGGAAAAGACCCTCGATATAATTCCAGGTGAGAGTCAAGAAATTTTCACTTGGTTGAATCAGCCTTAGAACACTGGCTGGCACATGTAAGTGCTAAGCAAAGGTTTGCTTTCGTTATTAAAGAGTGTGCTGTTCTTGGAGAGTCTCTGGGAGGATGGAGAGGCTGTGTGCGATGAGCCGGGCCAGGCCACTCTGTAACCATGCTTATTGGTGTCTGTCTTCACGCATCTGTGTCCGCTTGCGGGAAGAGCCCCCAATAGACTGATGCTTCCCTGTGGTTCCACCACCTGCTGCCTTATCCCATCACTCCACAATTTGACCCATGGGCTACAAACTGGTTATGGGTGATAAGTTGGTAAAGGACAAGATAATTCTAGATAACCTCAGTGGAAAGCAAACTAAGCTAGGCACAGAAAACTTCACATGTGGTCACATCTTTGCTTCATTCATTCATTCACTCATCGTGCATTTTCGCATTCAAGCACTGTGCTTGAGGTATAGAAATGAATCTGTGTGACAACAGAGAAGACAGACACAGGGAATTAGATGACAGAGGCTTGCAGAAGTCACCCAGTCCAGACACGTGGTCCCTAGGTTGAAATGTGGAGGAGGCATCTTGGCAAACATCAGAAGGGCCAAGGCCAACCACACAGAGCCCAGAGGACCTCAGAGAGAGCAGGATTTTAAGTCTGGGAGTGGTTCAAGCTTATACATTAAAAAAAATTCTCCAGATAGTTATGCAGAGGATAGAGGAGTTCAGAGATTCAGCAGAATTAAGATTTGAGGCAAGGAAACTGTGAGAAACTACTGAAGTCATGCAGGCAACATGCCACCAGGGCTTGGAACTTCAGCAATGGCAACTAAGATGAAAAGGAAAGGGGTGAATGAGAAATACTTTGGAGGTGCAACTGGACAATGGAGAAGAAAAAGTCCTGACTCCAGCTCACAGCTTTGACATTTGGCAGCTCTGCAATCTGCAGATGACACCACTGAGCTTCAGTTTCCATGTCTGTAAAATGGGTCTAATTACAGAGATATGTGAGGATTGGAAAAGAATGAGCATAAAGAGGTTAACCTGGCACATAGCAGGTGTTGAATAAATGTTAGCCCCATTGAAAGAAAGTCAAACCCATGCCATAGGTAGGCGTCAAGTTTGAAAATAAATAGCAAGAAAATAGGGAAGGAGCAGAGACCACGGAACCCTAGTGCTGGACAAGACTTACAACTAGACTTCAGGAGAAGCCACATTGAAATAACGTGGCTGGAGGGAGAGATGTGCATGTGACTTCACTCAGAGCAACTACAAATGCAGGCAACCCCCGCTTGTGTGGAACAGAGGACCTACATCTAAGCTGCTGCTAAGCCCCAGCCCCTGGAAAGCATGGTCTCGAGCTCAGGCTTCCTACTGCTGAGATCAACTGAACAGCACTTTGTTCCTCTTGCAAAGTCACCAGTCACTCAGAGAACCGCCAAAGGCTTCATCGCTCTCCATTCCTTACGTCAAACCTGGAGACAGCTGGAGGCAATTCACAGCAGAGGGCAGGACTAGAGTAACACGGTGCCCGCCCCTTCCAGTGAGTGGCACTTTTCTGAGCACCCTCACTCCGCTTCCTCGATACACCCACGGCTCTTTCTCCCCCATCTTCCAGCATGCTCCCGAAGCTTGCCCGGGCCAGGAACTGACTCTGAACACAGCGGGGCCCCAATATACTTGATCATATCCCGGGTCAGGTTCTGGAGCAGCAGATCAGGTCTCAGCAAGCGCAGGCAGCCAGCACTTTCACTGTGAGAAGCCACCATCCGGCCCCACTCTCCACTGGAAACATCACTACGTGGAAAGGCAAAGGCAACGTTATTTCCATTCACCGTATATTTGCTACATCACTGGTTTCCTATTTCAGTGTGTCTTGAAAATTTCCCCTCGGGTGAGAGCACTGAGGCGCCTTTGTTGTGAAATATGGTTAACACGAGGTGCTTTTTTTTCATGACGTCACTCAGACTTGGTCTCTGTCTGTAGGAAAACTAAAGCCCCAGTGAGTGCACAGTCCTCTGGGATTTCAAAGAATGTAAAAAAAAAA